TTTTTTTTTTTTTTTTTTTTTTTTTTTAAGATTTTGCTGCTCGTGAATGAGGCTGTCTCTTCTGGAAAACATAAATTCTGGGACCCTGGAGGCAGGATGAGCATGGGTATGAGGCATGTTGCTTGGATTCCACGTCCAGTTCCACCAGGTACCAATGGCATGGTCTCAGGCAACTAGCATAGTCTGTTTTCATAATTGTAAAATAGTGGTAATAACTTCCTATTTCAAAGTGGAGATATGAAGATTAAAGAAGGAAATGCAACCAAAGGAGGAAGAAGGGAAGGTGATATGTATAACACAGTCATATGGTTTGTAAATAAATTCATAAAAATGGAAAGTATTGTTTTAGATATTCCAAAGACCAGTCAAAATTTAAACCATCTTGATTCCCCCCTGAAATGCTAACTCTAAACATAGTTTAAAGCACAGACATTTTTTTTGTACTTATCCACATGATTCAATGGAATTAACCCAGTCACTGATAGACAAATCATACAGCTCTGTTTTCTTTAGAAAGAATATATGACAACCAATGGGGGAAAAGGTCAAAATTCTTCCTCTTTTATGCTTGATGAACTGTGTTATAACTGCCGTAAGTTGAGACTTCTTGCTAGTCTCACTTTGCAGTCTACTGAATCATGGATTGTTCTTTTGTAAGTGTAATAGATTCTTAATTCATTTGAATTTATTTTTATTTTATGAGTATGAGTGGTTTACCTACATGTAAGTGTACCATGTGAATGTAATGATGGCAGAGGCCAGAAGAGAGTGTTGATCCCCTGGAACTGAAGTTACAGATGGTTGTGAGCTGTCATATGAGTTCTGTGAACCAAAGCTAGGCTCTCTGCCTTTTGCAGGTGTCAGTTTCTTCTGTAGACTGTACACAATTGCCATGAAGCTAGTGAACTTTGTGGTACATTTAACAGGGAGTTTCCTGACAAAAGAGTTCACCAAGCCCTTTCTCTTACTGAATGGAAATTTTTTTTTAATTTATTTTTATTTTATGTGTATGTGTGTATTGCCTGCATGCAGGTAAGTACACCTGTGTTGTGCAGTGCCTGTAGAGGTCAGAAGAGCCTGTCAGATCCCCTGGAACTTGGAGTTACGGACAGTTGTTAGCTGCTATGTGGGTGCTGGAATTCAAACCCAGGTCTTCTGCAAGAACAACCAGTGTTCTTAACCACTGAGCCATCTCTCCAGCCCCCCTGAATGGAATTTTTACTATATGAAAGTCACATAGTTTACTATACCCATTTTATTATTAAGAAAGTTGAAACCCAGAATGACAGGCACCAGCAGCCTTCAAATGGCAGGCACCATTCATGCAAACAGAAATTGGTGCCTGTAGAACATGGTGTCATCTGAGAGATCCTGGCTCAGGAGCAGTCTCCAGGGGGAAGTGGGTTTGCGGAAGTCAAATGTCTATCCACTGAAGTATGAAGAGCAGGACTCAGGTCTGGGTTGGAGCTGTAAATAAAAGGGTTAAGGGTTCAGCTGCCAACCCAGACTAGAAGACTTGACTCCAGAGCTAGATTCTCTCCTAAGGCACTGACCTAGAGGTGTCTCCAAATAGCCCCAGACCTGTTCTTAGGAGTAGCCATTCAGATTGCTTAGAAAACTGAGAAAGGAGCCAGTCCCCAGGTAGGCCTAGACCCAGGTCATTTCTCTATGGACAGCAATGACTTTGGGTTCCAGCTGTCAGTGTCTTGGGCCTGCTGTGGAAGTCAGGGCCATCTGAGGAGCCCAAGAGTACTTTGAGTAGCTGCATTCTCCCCTTCCCCTTCAGCAGGCACTAGTTTCATTCAAATTTTTCTTCTCTGAAGTCCAGGCAGGCCTTTAATTTCTGATCCCCCTGCCCTAATCTGCCAAATCCCATCTTAATTTTTTGTTTTTGTTTTCTTATTTGTTTGTTTTGAGACAGGGTCTCACTATGTAGCCCTGGCTAGCCTGGAACTTGCTATTTCAACAGGCTGGCCTTGAACTCACAGAGCTCCCCTTGTCTCTGCCTCCTGGGTTCTAAGATTCAAGGCATGTGCTACCATGCCCAGCTCAAACTTCTGTTTAAACTTCCCAGCACCTTCTCAGGATGAATGACTTGACCTTCAGGGAGTGATAGGAACTGGAGTCTGGGGTGAAATAGAGCTGGGTTAAGTTCCTTTTTCAGTGGCTTCCAAGCCCTGTCATTCCATTTCTGAGTCTGCTGTAGTAATATGCAAATGACGTGATCCATTCACAAAATATTCTGTTCCTCTCTCCCTCTCCCTCTCTCTTTGTGAAATTAGGGCCAGCACCTTGCATGTGCTAGGCAAGTACTCTACCACTGAGATACATCTCTATACTTAATTTTTTCTTTGACTCAGTCTTTTAGTTGCTCAGGCTGACATCAAACTTGTGATCCTCCTGCCTCAGCTTCCTTAGTAGTGTAGATGTCAGTCCTGTGATACTATGCCCAGCTACAAAACATATTTTTTTAAAAACGTGCATGCTTTTGTGTGTGCGTGCTTGTGTGTGTGTGTGTGTATGTGTGTGCATGTGTGCACACCTGCCATGTATGTGCAGATGCCTGAGGAAACCAGAAGAGCAGGTCAGATTCCCTGGAGCTAGAATTACAGGTGGCTGCGATCCTCCTGATCCTCCCAGTGTGGGTGCAAGCAGCC